ACTATTTAGATAAAGTCATTTTTAACTTTTGTTGAGATAAAATATTTTAAAAACTTGAAATTAATGTCAAATGAAAAGTTTTTGTAAAAGAATAATAAGTTAAAGCCAAATGAAAGCCTTTTTAAAAAAAATAAAAATAAATAATAATAATAATAATAATAATAATAAAGTGCATCTACCAAAGACGAAATAAATAAAGGAAAAAATTCAACCGTATATGAATTGAGAAAAAAAGCGTGTAGACGCAAAGCGAGGCGTTTTGCCTGAGCTTCGAGCCTAGGTAGCTTTTTAGAACACTGATTAAAAAAAAAAATTCTATACAAAAAATAAAATAAAAAATGGTGGATAACAAATAAATAAACCATATTTATTTATATTTCAAGAACATATTTCATCATATAGGAATAGATGTAGCCTTAACGGCACCATTCCTAATAAAACACCAGAGCATATAAATACAATCATGCAACTATAACAAAATGACCCCAATTGCAATTATATTAGCTAAGGTCAGAGCACGGCCATAAGTACTTAAAATAGACTTCTGAACATTGGCATTGACATAATTAACTACATTTGGCTTTGAAGTAGTTAATAGGACCCAATTTCCTTCATCGTCTTTTGGTAATAATCTCCACACTAAATTCCAGACCTTAGTATCATGTACATTATCCATTACAATGAGGTACTTGCGACCCTTTAAGCTTTTGTACAAATGCTCAGATAATTGTTCTTCTCTTGCTTCACGCATACCATCATCAAGTTGTTTTATCGATTTAAGGAGACCAATCAAGATTTCTCACTCACTATATTCTTGAGGAATCGTTATCCATGCACGAATTGGAAAGTGATATTCAGTAAGTGGATCATCAAAAACATTTTGAGTAGGAGTAGTCTTACCACAACAGTCCGTCCCATGAATCGTGACAACATTGAGCTTTGACGAGTAACTTGTCATCCGATCCTTCATATGTGTCAACTCATTATTGGATCCCAGCACAACAATCTTGGCTTTGGAAGCAAGTTTTGAGAGGCGAGCTCGCAGAAATTTTCGAGGCTGCAGATGTTCTAATGTCATCTTAATCGTCATCACTTCTTTCGTGATGGAATCAGTTTCTTGTATTATTTTGTGTAAGCGTTGATAATGCTTATCCACAATATGATGCTTCTCTCCAGAGAGTATTTGCCATAAAGACAAATTTTCCCTATAACATTGAGATAATTGTGAATAATTTGAGATGTGAGATTCAATGATATGCTGTGCTGCAAGAGCTGCATTTCTGATTTTTGGTTCAAGAATTCTGATTGCTTCATTGCCTGTTTGTGAAGAATGTTCAAGAAAATCTCTCAAGAAACCAAGATTTTCATGGAAAGATTTGGTTTCTTTCTTACTGAGAAGAGTTTGAAGTTGATCACTATGCAGTATGACTTGCTCATCGAGAGTCTGCATAAGAGAAACCACTGCAGCATGAGCCATTTTTGATTGAGGCAGATTCAAAATGCTTGTGAGTTAGTGGAAGTGGATGAGTAATTCAAGAGATTGAAGATTTGATATGTGAAGGACATAAGAATAAGCAGAAATATATAGAAGAGCTGAAGAGAATAAGATTTATGCATGGATTAACTCTTGTCAACATATTGTTTTGTCAACTTCCAGGACCATTAGACCAGGTCAAATCAAAATTGTGCAAGTGTAAACTTATTTTAGATTTAAGACTGGGTTTTGCTACTCGTTGAGGGTTTATATTTAAGACTGGGTTTTGCTAAATGGCCCATGTGGCCATGGTCAAGTGGCAATCCTTTAAAACTTGCCACTTATAAATTTATAAAATTGTACAAGTGTATAATAAAAAATAAATTTAATCATTGAAGGGATATATTGAAGAATTAATATAAAAAAATAAATCTGATATGTACTCTAAAGTAATATTAAAGGAATCAAACTATTTAAAGTATCTCCAACATGAAATAAAATTTAAGTTCAATAATTAATTAACTGTTCATTTAGTTGCAGTCCAATTGAACGGGCATGTTTACAAGTACAGCAACCTTTTCCGACCTGCTGGCAGCTGCTTTTCAAAAATGGGAGAGTACACATCTTACCTGTTAGATAAAAGAAAAATGCTAGGCTGACAAGGGTTTTGGACACGCAGGCACCCCTCCAATAGGAGGGTCCCATGTGGTGCCCTGTCCAATTTATTGTCCAAAATTCCTATTTGAGTGGTTTTTCCCTAGATAAAATTTTTACACTACTTTATCATATTCATTGAGAGCAGGAGATAAATTTTAACCTGTTTCATACAAAAAATCATTAGCTTAAGCTAACGTTGTAATATTGTAATTCTTTTATTCTTGGTTATTTTAATAATTCGATTCAAGTTAGACTTGATTACGTTTAATCTCAACTCATTTAGCCCATGTTTGGTAAAAAAATTAATTTTAATTTTAATACAAGTCAAAATAAATATTAATTTTAACCACATATTTCATGAAGTTCGTAATTTTCAACCATGCATTTCATCCACTTTTATCAAAATTTACTAAAAATTTGATTTTAATACCTTCAAAACATGGACTCGTTAAAAACTATGAGTGATAATTTTGACTGAAGATTACTTGTAATAATCTATTCGCCTGAAGATTTTGATTTTTTTTCCCCTTTTGAGTTTTCTCCAAAATTTCAAAATTCTAAACAAAATACCTTGATCAACATGGATTTTTTTTTTTTTTTAAATAAATCATTCCGCATAACACAAACAATTCAGACTTCGTTTTTGTAGAACAATCTGACCATGATTTTCTCTATGATGTAATTTCAAATAACTACTTTTTCATGAAAGGATTTATTGATTTAATGAAATTTTAATCATGTTGGCAAACAATGCTAATGTAAATTAAGGGTAAGAAAATAGCAATGTAAGTTTTTGTAGCGCAAGAGTTTTTTTTTTCCTTTCAAGATTACTGAAAATCTGGGACCGATAATCAGCCTGTATGTAAGGGAGTGTGTTATTTTCGACTTAACTATTTATATTAGGCGGTTCAACATGAGCTCTGTAATTAGAGAGATGCAATATGGGCAGGGCCTGTCCAAATAGGAACAAACGTTGCGGCCCTCTATTGGTCGGTTGTTTGCTAGCCTATCCGAAAAGATTAATCCTTGTAATTAAGCCTCAACCCTGGATTGCTACCAGCCTTTATTCCAGAATAATTCTCAATTAGTGCAGTAATTTTGTTTGTATATTAAGTCTTCTCCATTCTAATCGATTTTGGTGTGATAGTTGTTACCAGTCTAGGTGTTCATGACCTCCTATTTATTGGTTAACCAACAAATGATAAATAACATTATTCTTTGTGTGTTATATTTTACTCGGATAGGCTAGCCATTTAATATGAAAGTCCATGACTCGATCATCAATAAAGTTCTGATCTCTCTATTAGTGTGATTTGTGATCAGCACGGTAAAAAATCGAAAACTACTGACTTTCCTTAAAAAATAACTTTGACCCAACTCCATTTTACTGGTAGGGTATTGCTAATTGAAATTTTCAGATTAGTGTTGAATAGTAGCTTGCCACTCTATGCTTCAAATTTTGACTTTATTTTTAACTGCCTATTCCCTTGCCAATTATTTTTTCTAGCTTGATTTTTACATCTTGAAATTAATTCTTCCTCTTGAGGTTTGGAGTAAGACTAAGAAAAAAAGAAACCCATGTAAAAATAGGACACACCCATAAATTTTGTCCACAAATTTTCTTTTAAGCCAACTAGCTTATTAACCATTTAAGTTTATATGCTAATTTATACTTATGATCTAGGTGTGCCCTATCTTTCTTTCTTTTTCCTTTTTTTTTTCTTTTTTTTCAAAATGACATTCAGCTCAAGATTTTAAAGCCTAATGTGGAATTTGACATTATCCCCATACAAGCATCAATCATACTATAGTAACATAATGATTAACATAATCCTTGACATAATACCACGTGGCATCCCATCATTAAATTTTTTAAGTACAGTCAACTTTCTCATCGAATCATCTATTGTCAATTAGGATTATGTCACTGCATCTGCTACAAATTTTCTGTCAAAGTAGCAAAATCCATACAAAGTAGCAAAATCCATACAAGTATATTGACAAGGAGGGATCTAAGTGGGTCTTACATTTCGGGATTCACAATTATCTATAAAAAATAAAAATCCAACAAAGATATCTAATACAAAAAATAAAAACAAATGGTGGATAACAAATAAATAAACCATATTTATTTATATTTCAAGAACATATTTCATAATATAGGAATGGATGTAGCCTTAACGCCACTATTCCTAATAAAACCCAAGAGCGTGTAAATACAATCATGCAACTATAACAAAATGATCCCAATTGCAATTATATTAGCTAAGGTCATAGCATGACCATAAGTACTTAAAATAGACTTCTGAATAGTGACGTTGGCTCTGACTTAATCAACTACATTTGGCTTTGAAGTAGTTAATAGGACTCGACTTCCTTCATCGTCTTTTGGTGGTAATCTCCATACTAAATCCCAGACCTTAGTATCCCGTACGTTATCCATTACAATAAGGTACTTGCGACCCTTTAAGCTTTTGCACAAATGCTCGGATAATTGTTCTTCTCTTGCTTCACGCATACCATCATCAAGTTGTTTTATCGAATCTAAGAGACGAATCAAGATTTCTCGCTCACTATATTCTTGAGAAATAGTTATTCATGCATGAATTGGAAAGTGATATTCCATAAGGAGATCGTTGAAAACATTTTCTGCTAGAGTAGTCTTACCACTACCGTCCATCCCATGAATCGTGACAACGCTGAGCTTTGACGAGTCACTTGTCATCCGATCCTTTATATGTGTCAACTCATTATTGGATCCTAGCACAACAGTCTTGGCTTTCGAAGCAAGTTTCGAGAGGCAATCTCGCAGAAATTTTCGAGACTGCAGATGTTCTAATGTCTTCTTAATCTTCATCGCTTCTTTCGTGATGGAATCAATTTCTTGCATTATTTTGTGCAAGAGTTGATAATGCTTATCCACAATAGGATACTTCTCTCCAGAGAGTATTTTCCATAAAGACAAATTTTCACTATAACATTGAGATAATAATGAATAATTTGAGAGGTGAGATTCAATGGTATGCTGTGCTGCATGAGCTGCATTCTGATTTTTGGTTCAAAAATTTCAACTGCTTCATTGCTTGTTTTTGAAGAATGTTCAAGGAAATCTCTCAAGAAACCAAGATTTTCATGGAAGGATTTGGTTTCTTTCTTGCTGAGAAGAGTTTGAAGTTGATCACTATGCAGGATGACTTGCTCATCGAGAGTCTGCATGAGAGAAACAATTGCAGCATGAGCCATTTTTGATTGAGGCAGATTCAAAATGCTTGTGAGCTAATGGAATTGATGAGTAATTCAAGTGATTGAAGTTTTGATATGTGAAGGAACATAAGAATAAGCAGAAATTTATAGAAGAGCTGAAGAGAATAAGATTTATGCATGGATTAACTCTTGTCCACACATTTTTTTGTCAACTTCCAGGACCCTTAGACCAGGTCAAGTCAAAATTGTGCAAGTGTAAAATTATTTTAGATTTAAGACTGGGTTTTGCTACACGTTGAGGGTTTAGATTTAAGACTGAGTTTTGCTACATGGCCCAAGTGGCCATGGTCAAGTGGCAATCCTTTAAAACTTGCCACTTATCAATTTATAAAATTGTACAAGTGTACAATAAAAAATAAATTTAATCATTGAAGGGATATATTGAAGAATTAATATAAAAAAACTCTTCTTGTATTGGTTCATGAGGCCGGTTCGATTCAAATCATGATAATATCCTCCCTCGCCAAGAAATCATGGGCTGTCCCTAAATAGAATCTTTATGGTAGTTAATTGGTGGTTTTGGACGGTGTTGATGTGACTCCCCCAAGTGTGCTTGACCAATTGGATTTGATAAGGTGTAAGAAATTTGTAATCACGGTGTCTGTTGAGATTACGACGGTCATGGATCCAAGCTGATCTGAAAAACTCGAGCTAACAAGTTGATGTGGCAAGTATAAGGTACAATTTAAGTGAGATAGATCGGGGTCAACAACTTAAAAGCAAAAAAATCAATTAATAAGTGAAAATTTCATATTAAAGTGAAAAACATAGTATAAGTAAAATATTAATTATAAGCGTGAAAATCAGTTTTAAGCCAAAAAAAGTTAACTTATTATTTTTTTAATTTTTAATTATATATTTACTTTTATTTCTTTTCGTGCCTTTTTCCCTTTAATTATTAAATGATTTTTAGATTAATTTGAAATTTTAAAATAAGAAAATCTTTTTTTACGGTTAGACCTCTCCTGGTTCAAAGCCTGACCGAATTTTATATTAAGCCCCTGTTTGCCCTCATTACGGGGAAAAATTAATGAGTGAAATAGTATTTTTTTGAAAAATAAATGGTTGAAAAAGAAGGAATT